CAGCGCGAAGCCCGGAGCCGTTACGGAGAAGCCGAGGGCCGCGGCTGTGGAGCTGTCAGTGGGGCGCGAGGCCGAGCCCTGGGCCGTGGGGACTGTTCTGGGACCCGGCAGCTGGCGAGGGGCTGTCGGGGAGAGAGGCCGGGCACAGGGGCGCTGCCGCCGGCTGGGCGTGCGGTGGTCACGGGGACTGGCCGGTAACGGCACCTCCAAGAAGCACATTTCACGTGTGGGAGAGGCGGATCGGGCAGCGGCGTATGGGCCTCGGCCGCCTTCACACAATGCCACAGGGTGTGAGAGAGAGACAGCAAAAATAGTTGTGTGTCCGGCGTCCCAAAACTATTTGTAGAAAGAAATGAAGAACAGTGCTTTTCCACTCAACTGTTAGGCAGGCTCTGTTTTAAAATACAGCTCTAAATATGGCCTACTTCAGTTTGTGGTCCCGTTATCGTAACACTTAATTTAAATATCTCATTAAATTATCTTTTCAGAGACTCATATCCTGTATCTGGAAATGTATGGTGCATTCTCTGAGAATATATTCAAAGGTGATTCATAAACTGTAATTAAGACATTTTTGCTATTTGTGGTGTAAGTTACGGTAAAGGTGACGTTACTGGCTTTAGTGCACAGTGAAGTATCAGGAAAGTTGCTTGAAGGTATTTTAAATAAAAAATCAGCATCAAAAAGTTAATCCTACTTGCAACATTGATGTCAGTTTTGAGTTGCCTCTAACAAAATCTGATCAAGTAAACCTGTGTTTTCATCCCTAATCTTTTAAAAGGAGCTTGCATTCTATGAAGAATTTATTTCAACATAAACATGAGAATTTCTTATGTTTACAGACACATATTTGATAGATTTGGCCAGCTTTATTTTAATTTGCATTCCATGTATTATACTACTGGAAGAGAGCCCTCACAATCAAAATCAAAGAAATTGCCCATTCTCTATCACTGATTAAAGGCAGCTCAGCTGGGTTTTTGCAGGAATTCTGGAGTATGATTTTTGAAGACCTGTATCTATATAATTTGCAGTCAATGGAATACCTCAGTCAGTAAATGTATGTATATGCCTACAATCCAAACACATCTGCATGTGTTTATTTATATGCATTGAGTAGTTCCACAGAAATAACCACAGTCATAAAATTAAACACATGCCTAAAGATTCAATCTCTGTTCTGACTGGGAGGAGATAGAATGAGAGTGAACTTACTGATGACAGATGCTCGTTTCACTGCTTAGTGCCCTACTGGGATGCACTTATCAAATACTGTTATCAGTGCAGTGTAAGAACTTAAATAGAAGGGAAAAAAGTATGAGGGCAGAATTAATCAGGCAGTATAGAAATCACACGGTTTCTGTTTTAAAATATTACTGCATGTTGCCTGATGCTAGCAGGAAGAATTCTAATTTGTGTGCACTTTTTCTTTCCTAAATCTAATCATTTGGACTAAACAATCCCCTGCAACTCATTTGTTGTAGCAATTTGGCAGAGCATGGCAGCCAGTGACTAGTAACAGTGAAGAAACTGATCTATTTCCATTGTCTGAGGTGAACGCATGCCATAAATACAAGAGAGGAAACTGGGGACAAATAACTGCCAGTTTCAGTAATCAAAGCTGCCATGACTAAATAAATAAGTAAATGGGAACAATGAGACTTGATGAAAACAGGGGTAGATGGTTGGATGGTACTTTTTAGTGAGCTATTGCCACATTTAAAATGGAAGGTAAAGAGGATCTCTTTTACTGGTTTACGTCCAATATTTACATTTAAACTAGTATATGCCATTGTATAGTAAATGACAGAACACCTTCAGTGACATTAAAGATTACACTATTGTAGCTACATACTTGAATTCTATCTACATCCAGTCTTCTGCACTTCATTCATAAAACTTTTACCAGTTGACTTACTATTTCGTCAGCTATTTTTTACTCTTAATGGTGAGATACAGACTTTTCCAAACTTGGAATGACTGTGTACCTTTTAAAATAAGTATATGCTCACAGGTATACAATTCGTATTTTCTACAATAAACATACTATATGAAACAAGGTCAACTCTATGGTGAGCTGCAGCACAGATACAACAATCATACTTACCAAGTGAATTTTATCAAATTTGGTTTTAAGTATGTTTTCCACAATACCTGTAAATGTCTCTGAGTGACCTCTGATGCGACCCTGTAATGGGCTTTTTCTGTATCTATTTTTGGTCTGGTATTTGTATTCTTAACAGTCATGGGGTGCAATGGCTGGAAATAATGCAAAGCAGAATTTAGTCTTATTTTCTTCTGAGGAAACAAGCAGCAGTCCCTCTGACCTTCTTTTTTTATTTTTTGTTCTGTTTTTAATCTCCTTCATTCATCTTATCCTTACCAGGCAGCCCATTTCTCAGTACACACTGAAGAAGTTATTTATGATACCGTTTTTATCTCTCTCAGCTTTATAAACTCCTGAAGTGAGAAAGGGAGGAACCCTGGTAACATTACTGGCTATAATGCTTGGAATATATAGCCATAATTAGTTGGCCCAGGGACTGACTCTCCTTTCTCCCATGCTCTTCAGCAAATGGTGGAAGCCCATTGTGCCCATAACGTCTCACGCACTCAGGGAAAGGTTACCAAAACTAGGTGCATAGGCAGATACTGAACTCACAAAGACTGATGGGGAAACAGAAACAAGGGGACTGAGAGGAGGACTCACAGGCACAACATCAGAGCCTCCCCAACAGGGATGGTGACAGAAGGTGAGCTTCAGTCAAATGAAAGCAAGAATAAAATCTGTACAGACACCTGCCATATACTTGAAAGAGTCCTCAGGCTAGCTTTAAAATTTCTTTTTTTTTCCATGTTGCTTGCTTCAATGAGAGCAAGTCTGGGCCTAGTGGGAAGGGAAATCACACACCCAGTTCTAGGATTGAGGTGAAATCCCTGTTCTGGGGTCTCACTGCTAATCTGGTAGGCAGGTTCCTGTAATCTACAGACTATTCTATAGTCAGCTTTGCTGCTTACAGTGAATTTGAACCAAACTCACCCCACTTTGCATTGGGATAGGAACAGGATATTCAAACATGAATGCAAACATTTTCTTCCCCATCTCCCTCTTACATCCTGCCTATAGGAAGTCTACTGTGTTATTTAGTAGTGCACTTGGAAATCTATTTGGATCTATTTGTACTAGGTGTTAGGTGACTAAAAAGGAACGTGACATCCTCGTTTCACACAAGCTAAAGCAAGGAGTTCTGAACTCTTGATTACATGCCTGAAGTGTGACATTGCAGCCTCTTAGAAACATTTAAGTGTTACTGACACATTGGTGCCATATTCTAACTTCCAGTACAGAAAAAATAACTAAGGCCTCTTCATTAACTAAATCGCAGGACCAAGAACGGTTTGTTTGTTCTGTTCAACAGCTTGGACAAGTGTTGAATCACAACAGCAGTAGGCTGTTCTGCTGCGCAAAACTGTCTGATGGCTGAAACTCACACTCCTTGATTATAAGCTTTGAGGAGAAATAAGGACTCAGTATCTAAACATTTTTGCTATGGAATTATGGATTGGCACAAATGAAAAAGAAATATCAGAATGCAAGGTGTGGGCAGAAACATTTACAAATATGTGACAGATGCCGGATCTTTGGAAAGAACCGAGAGAATGCAGAGTTACTTGCAAGTGGGATGTGGATGGCTGGTGTAATTTGAGTTTTTACTATTCTGTCAGGTCATTTCTCTGAAATTTTCTTTAACCTTATGTTGAAGTTAGTGTTTTAGCAGTTCATATTACTGTCCGCATAGTTTTAGTCAGTGTATATGACACTATAATGCTCCTCCAAGTCATTTTACATTTCTCAGAATCCTGTGCTAAACCTCCTAGATTTTCTGGATTTATCTATCTTGGAACTAGAGTTTAATTTAACAGATGCAGTAGAACTCTATTGGTACAAATTCTCTGATTCTACAGTTACAAAGTCTGACAATGTTCTGTTGATTTCATAATTCAGTATAAGAATTCTCATAGCACTGAAAAGCTTAGCAAAAGAACTGGGATTAGAATTCAGTTCTCTCATTGCACTTCATCCTTTCTCACGCTTAGTCTCACCCTTGTCTATTACTGCTATACCTTCTTCCATCTATTCACATACACAGTGACACCTCGCTAAAATATGTTGCAGTGACTTACTGTCATCTCTCTGTATTTTTAATTATCACTGGGATCCAGGAATAAGACTTTGCAGATGGAAAAAATAAAGGCACGACTAAAAGCAGAATTTGAAGCCCTGGAGTCTGAGGAGAGGCACCTGAAAGAATACAAACAGGAAATGGACCTGCTGCTGCAAGAGAAGATGGCCCATGTGGAGGAGCTGCGGCTGATCCATGCTGATATTAATGTGGTATGCAACAGCCCAGCTGCAGACAACCTAAGTCACAGTTGTATTGTGAATCATTCCACAGGTTGTGGAATTGTGCACATCAGTGAAGCATTTCTGGTTCAATAATCTGGACTTTACAACACCACCTTAGGATACTACAAAGAGTGCAAAGTAAATTTATTTCAGGATAATTGTTTTTCCCTGTCTGTGTTGGGCAGGGTATTTTGTAATGTTGCATAGTAAGCATTTGGATCCAGAGGATAGAGAACCAAGCCCACCGTAGCTACAACTTTACCAGTAGCCACAGTAACACCACTCTGGCAGTCCCATAGAAAACTTTTCTTCCTGTTAGTCTTTTCTCATTTAGCACCTGGAAACCGAAACTTTGGCAGCTGGCAGTTTGGCAGTTTTTCCAAAACTTTGGAAACTTTTGATTGGAGGTTTTTGAAAGAAAAGAGATTCTAAGGAAATATATTTGTTGGAAGAGCTGACCTTGATCACTGAGTGGAACCACCAAACATTAAGAAGCACCAGCCTGAAGGAATTAATACAAATAAAAGTTACTAGAAGATTAGAAAATTAGGGGGCTAAACGGGGAATGTATTTTTAAACCTGAGGGTTTTATGCCCTGTTAGAGCACTTACATGACTGTATAGTGCCTTCTAGCTCTGAAGGTACTGTGCTTTGCACCAGAAGAAAAAAAGCTCCAATGTTGTAAACAAATATAAGCTATATACTGGATGTGCAGACTGCATTTATTTATCACTTGAAATGACTTTTCTCCTACCCAGCTGCATAACCTCTGTCTCTGTTTCATCCTTCCCTCTTCCCTGTCAGTTTGTCTTTTTCTCTGTTGCTTTTCCCATTTACTGCAGTAAGAGAAGCAGGAACCTTTCCCTAGCTTGTTTGTTAACTTCTAACCATCAGTGTTCAGGTATCTTAGAAACACAGAAAATTAGTTTACTTTAATTTTGTCCCTTGATAGTTTTCCATAGCTCTTCACTTGGTGACTCATCTGCAGCCCGTCTACCTTCTTCTGTTGTTCAGTTCATATATGGCCTTTTAAAATGAAAATGCATCTTGTATGTCACTTTCAGTTCCTTCTTCCTTGCCCAGTTTTCCTGCTCCCAGCATCTTAACTCTGTTTTACTATTGCATTGTCTCAAATCTCTTCCAACTTTAGTAAGAAAAATCTCTTCTGATAGTCTCTTGCTCAGTCAGAGCACCACTTTTGGGACAGTTCTTTAAAAGTATGCCTGTTCTCCTGTTTCAGATGGAGAATACTATCAAGCAGTCTGAGAACGACCTCAACAAGCTCTTGGAATCTACTCGTCGCCTACATGAGGAGTACAAACCCCTGAAGGAGCATGTAGATGCTTTGCGGATGACTCTGGGATTGCAGAGGCTGCCAGATCTGTGTGAGGAGGAAGAGAAACTATCCCTTGAGTAAGTCTCCGAAGCAAGCATCATCTGGCTTTATACCTTCTCTAGATTCTGCTGGTTGTTCTGTCATTTTACTTTTGTTGGTGGGTGGAAGAAAGAACCTAAAAGCTAAGCATGAAAACCAAAAGTTAATAAAAAAGGGATGTGGGAGCACATATATTTGCTAACATTCAGTTTGAATTTGTTGAAAATTAAATTTAGATTATTCCAAGCTGCACGCTCTACATATGACATGCAAAATTCAAGGGTGGTTGGTTCTCTAGATTTTTATACCATATGCTGCTTTTTCTAGCAACTTTTTTCTTCCTGAAAATATTTTTTTTTACCTGTTTAGCAAGCAGAGGTAGGAGGCACTACAAGAAAGGGATACAAAACAAGTATTCTTCAGTTGGTTTGTGCTACTGCTAGTCAGAATTTTACTTTCTGCTGCATGCACATGGCAGTGGCATTTAGCCATACACTTATGACTGTCAACAAGTAAGTTTACCGTAGATGTGGAATAGATTTGGATAATAAGAGTTTCATTTTTAGATATAACCTAGGTGGGGGACAGAATTAGCTACTGTTCAAAGAACAGTGTCCTCTGTTTAACAGATGAGTTTTAAATGCAAATGATGTTTTAAGAAACTTACTCTTAATGCCCAGCACATTTGGCATCATTTTCACAGACACACAGTTTTCAACATTTCTTTTGCACTTCTTCAGAAATGCTGTTTTCCATTCCAAGCACCTTGGCACTACAAAGAATATATTATCTGTTGCATACAAAAGTTACTCACTCTAACAGAATAAATTGTGAAAACTAAATTGTGCATTGCTAAAATGTAAAAGGTGCATCTAAAACTACTAAGGATCAAATATATATGTTGTCCGCTTTTCATCCTATTAGATTTATATCCAGTTGTACATCAGGGTATCTTAGAAGCTGACAACCTGGAATCTGGCTGAAGTGCAGAAATGTAGAGGAAAATACCACCAATTCTACTGATGAACTAGTCCAAGTGGTGTAGGCAATTTGACTCTAGTGGAGGAATGTGATAGTGAAATGCAACCCATTATATATTCACACAAAATATCCTTTACAAACTAACGGAATACTCCAGAAGATGTTTATACTTTTTATTTGTTTTTATTTTCTCTAGCTACTTTGAAAAGCAGAAAGCAGAATGGCAGACAGAACCACAGGAGCCTCCCATCCCAGAGTCTCTGGCTGCAGCTGCAGCAGCTGCCCAACAGCTGCAAGTGGCGAGGAAACAAGACACCAGACAGACAGCGACTTTCAGACAGCAGCCACCTCCCATGAAGGTCAGGAGATGGAATGCGCCGGGCTTTCTCCTTTGTCACTGGATTTGTTTATTAAGCTGATCAGTATTTATGAAGAGGAAAAATGATGTGTCCTGATTCTGATTTTTCTTGTGGTGGTTCAAATCAAGAGCAACCCCAGTAGATATAAAGCACTAGCACCAGTCATCAAGCGTTAAGGACAAGGCTCTGTGTTATGCGACTCCTTTCCAACTTAGAGTCTTCTCAGCAGAGATAGAGGCACTACCCACTCTTGTGTTTCATGTGGGAGAAAGGCGAGCAAGAAAAAAAAATGCTGGGCAAAAGAAAAACTAATAGCTGGGAGTTAATCCCAAATGGATTCAAATTTGAAGTAATGCACATATTTTATGAGGGAGACTAATCACTGGTGGTACAATTACCAGGAAAGGTGATTGTTTCTGCATTTCTTGACATCTTCAATTTGATTAATTTAACCTAACCACAGGCACTTAAGTGACATTTTTAGTCAGCTCCATCTGTAGTCAGTAAAAAGAGTCGAGTAATTCCATAGGGGTATTCATCCCACCCAAGTTCCAAAGATTCACTGACTAAGGAGGCAAACTGATGTAGGTATACTCCGTATTTATGTACTTCCTATCTGGAGTTAGGCCATCAAAAAGCCTTTTTGAATGTAATATGCTTCAGTTAAATGGAAGTTAAAGGGCTTAGTATGGAGCAAAAGGGCAGAGTTCTACATCTTGTGTTAAATATGTGGAAGCCATCTAACCTGCTTGAATGCTCCTGCCTTGAATTCTACGACATTGCAGTTAGCCTTCTCTGTTACTTCTCTGACTCAGTGAGCTATTACACATGTAAACATCCCTAAAAGATGTGGAACATTTAACACGAAGTAGTATTTAATGTTAGTTACCGATACATGCCTGAACCATGGGGCTGATGAACTGTAGTTTCAATTCAATGAGATACTCTCGTGTTTCGGTTGAAGTTACTGTACAGTCCAGAGATCTGGATTGTGTAGAATGTAGCATTGGTTTGCCTTTGAAGGCAAGAAGCCTTAGCTATTTTTTTCTGTACTGTAACTTAGAACATGATACTCAATAATCAGTGTAACAACTTAAACCTTTGTAATAAGAGGCTGTAATGTCACATTTCAGGCATGTTTATCGTGTCACCAACAAATTCATCGGAACGCACCCATATGTCCACTCTGCAAAGCAAAGAGCCGATCTCGGAATCCCAAAAAGCCCAAGAGGAAACAGGATGAATGAAGCCCAGAAGATTGACAAGCAAACACGTGATCTATTCCAGTACCCTTCCGGTAGAACTGCAAATGTGGCCAGACTTTACTGAAGTGCAGACTCAAGTATGACCGACCCATTGTTTTCTATTTAACGCAATGTAAGCACAATGTTCCTGTTCTGTCTTAATTTCCTTCCAGTCCTTAGGATTTGGTTTTAGGAAAGTAAGTATTACTGGTGCTACACTTTAACATTCCAATCATACCATCATTTGGACTTCTAAACAATGTGGAATTCTCACGCAGGTATCCTAAATGCCAGGCTGTTCCTATTGACCAAATATGATTACCACAAAGGCTTTTATGTTCTCTTTTTACAAACAGATGTTACTAAAAGATTATTCTGCTTTCTCCTGGTAACAGGAGACTATCTGAAGTACTGAAATAGCAGGCTGTCTATTTTTGTTTCACTGAAGAACAATTTCTTTTCCAAGCTAGTAAGATTGCATAGGTTTGGGTATCCAATAGAGCTCTTTTTATACAAGGGAAAAAAGAGAAATTGGTTACACAGGGAATTGGTGCATTAAGGACTCACATAAGTTCACTAGAGTTTGACTGCACCATTCCATCAGACTTGACAAAATTTGGAAGGGGGATCAAGTTGCTGGCTGTGTATGAATTTCTAAAAATGATGTAATTTGTGATGCTTTAACATCTTAATATGGCATTACTTTCAGCAGTCAGAAGACTGATTGACTTAAGTACAAGGCTCAGATGAACTGTATTAATGGTCCTCCTAGGTTCTGTGGCTAACCAGCCTGTGGTTCTCTAGGAAACATGCATGGAAGATCTCAAATCTCTCTGCACACAGACTGCAACACGAGCCATTCTGCACATCATCTACTCCTGGTTTCTATAGCCAGAATCTCCCTTGGCAGGCATATCCTCCACTGGAGCACAGGAGAGTTTAGGAACATGCACCAGGAGCAGTATCAACTAAAAATTGATATATTTTGCCAGAACTGCCTGGCTTTGGTGTCATCGTCCTCCCATTTTTGTATCTTTAATGTGTCATTTTCAAGTAAGCTTTATTTCATCCCATGTTTTTTTCTTGCTCTGTATGTGTGCCAAAAGAGCCTTTACTAAAGGATCCTTTAGACTTCTCCCCGTATTCGTGTCTTCCCTTTGTTTCACCCTAGGTAACAACAGTTCCTCCAATGGGGACGATGGCAGTGGGCCAGCTACAGAACCGAGGCTTAAAATTTACTCATTTCTGATCCCAGTTTTGTCACCACCTTTGCCATCTAAATTGATCTTGACTATTAAATATTCTTTTCACTAACTTCAGGAGACAGGGACCACCTCTGTACATTCTCTCTTTAACCCAGGTTTTCTTCTACTATTATGCTAGAGTGGTTATATTGAGAACTTTGCCTGTTAAATAGGAAGGACAGGGAAGCCCAGTGTCTCTGGTCAGAACTTTGCCAAATGCTGGGGACTGTACAAAGCCACATAAACCAATTTTACTGGCCAAATCACATACATTGCCATGGATTTCCCAACTCTGTCACAAAGTACATGAGTATTTTATTGAATACAGTCCTATAATTTATGCCAAGTTCAGTTGATATTCTCCCATTTTAATGTTTCATAGCTAAGCATCTGTCAACAGCAGAGACAGAATGTGGACCCTGCGGTCCTGAAAATATGTGAAGAGCAGTAAATTCTGTTAGCTGAATTACGGGGATTCAGTCTCTGTGAGACAGCAATAATGGAGGTCAGTAGCCTGACCCCATGCTCCAAATGGCAGTAGTGCCCTAGCTCTATGATCATGCAAGTTTCCTAACACAAATACTGGATTCTACTTTTAAGTGTCAGAGCAGCCACATGCTGTGTGCCCTGGTCAGAGCAATTCCTATTGAGTTGAAGGGAAAATGCACAGAGTTAAAGGACAGTACATGGACTCCCCCAGAGCATGTGCATACTTTGATGACAGCCATAGATAAATTTAAAGAGTAGCGACAATGGAGGATGGGCAAATGGTCTGCAATGAAGTAGCATGAATAGAAAGATATATTTGTAGAAACTTCAACTTACAGTTCTGAAATAGGGTTAGTTGTAGCTGCTCTCTCTCACTTTACTGTTACATTGCCAGGTTCCTGCTTTCTTGGGAGGTCTCTAGAACTCTAAACTGAAGTATGCTTAAGGAGGCACCATTTACTAATTTAGCGTGGCAGTTTTGTATTTTTACTTTTTTAAACTAGTTTCTTGTGCTCTTGTGTTTAACAAGGTATGTTTTCTTAAAAAAAAAAAAAGTGAATATGACCTACTGTATTTGTGTCAATCACGTACTGGTGTTTACAAATCTTTTTTCACATCCTTTACAAAGTTCTGCCACATGAATAGCTTGCATTGCTGAGACCCTGGCAGCCAAAAGTGCCAACCGTGTCCTGGGGTGTGTAGAGCATAACACAGCTAGTCAGTCAAGGCAGGAGATTGTCCCATCCTACACTGCACTGGTGCAGCCTTGAGTACTGTGTGTAGTTTTGGATGCCTCAATGTAAGAAGGATATCAAACTACTAAGGGTGTGTCCAGAGGAGGGTGACCCAGATGGTGAAAGGTCTTGAGGGCAAGACTTACAAGGAGCAGCCAAGGTCACTTGGTCTGTTCAGCCTGGAGAAGAGAAGGCTGAGGAGGAACCTCATAGCAGTCTACAACTTCCTCATGGTGGGGGCAGAGGAGGGGGAGATGCCGACCTCTCTCTGGTGACCAGCAACAGGACAGTAGGAAAAGGTTCTTCACTGTGAGGGTGGTCTGTCACAGGAACAGGCTCCCCAGGGAAGCAGTAACGGCACAAAGCCTGCCAGAGTTGAAGGAAAGTCTGCATGACACTCTAGTCATATGGTTTAGCATTAGGTAGTCCTGCAAAGAGCAGGGAGTGGGACTTGATGATCCTTGTGGGTCCCTTCCAACTCTAGATATTCTATGATTCTAATTATTAGAAGACACTTTTATATTACTAAAGTGAAGTTTAACTCTGGCTTTGTCATTCCCTTTCCAATGGATATTAAAGTGACAACAAAAATCACTGGATTGTTATAGCTGGTTTTCGGTTCTACTGCTGGTTCCTTACTTGCCTCAAAGGATAATCCTGTTCTGCAACCAAATGGCAAAAAAAACCCCAACCCAAAATACAAGCTTCTCCCCTTGCCCCCCACCTTAAGCTCATGCTGAAAGGACATGAACACTCTACTGTGTGTAAAAGGCTTTGCTACAGAAATCTTTGTACCCAAGCTGGGGTAGATCAGTTGTTCAAACTTTAGTGCCAAGGACCCCATTAACTTCAAAGAAAATGTAAGTCAAATTTTAATAATTGTACTTCCTGAATTCAACTTCAGTTTTCTGAACAGGACACTGACTGAACCTGCCCATGGCTTTAAGTCACAAAATCTAATTTTGAAAGAATAGCCATCGATGTGTTACTCTAAATAGCAGGCTATTCAAGAAATTAAGACTTTAACAGCACTTTAAATAAAGAAAAGTGCTTTCCTTTATTTTACGGTTTTCTGATTCCTCTGACACAGGTTTTCGTTTTAGCATTTAGGTATTTTAGCAATATCTGGTGTTTTCACTGGTTTCTGTGTTTTAAATATTTCACTCCAGTGCCCAGTAGGAGTAACAGTGTGCTTACCTGTTTAAGTTGTCTGTACAGTCCTTTTTAATAAATATTTGTTTCATGTCATGCTTTCTTCTTGCAGAGTATTTTCACATCTGTTATTTGCTTATGCTCCTGAGAAGCAGCCATATCCCAAAAGGCAAAACCCAGCTCTCTAATTTTACAGGACGCAATTTTCTGTTATACCTTTACAGAAACTTTATGGAGGCAAATATGCGGAAATATCTGTTCTAATGAGTTTTAGAAAATAGAAAGGAAAAAGAGAAAGACAGGTTTTAAACCTAGCCAAACTTCTCAGTCACATGTCTGGAACACAAACCTCTGTGTGCTTAAGCTCCAAGATTACTGCATCTTGCCGAAGAGTTATAGAAACAGTGGTTAATTCCCCAAACCAAGTGTTTCTGAAATAAACCTATCCTCTGCTACCACTGAAACTGGATAGTTTGCAGCATAAAAATGCCTAAGTTATACTTGCAGGTGTCCAGTTATGAAACTCAAACAGACACAGAATAACAAGGAAATTGCGTCCCTCTGCTGCAGTTCAACCACTGAAAGCTCTGACTGGGGCATTTATTTCAGTTTGTGACAGATGCACAGAGCTTCAGCTTGAAATACTTCCCAGTCAATTTAAACGAATTCAAAACAAACCACTCTTAAATGGGAACAAGTCTTGCTCAGACAGGTTTCAGTTTAAAGAAGAGTGTCATATCCAACACCTTCTGTCAGGTGCTAGATTGCCAAGAAGCCAAAACCCAGATGTATTCTTCACAGTTCTTTACTACTGAGGAACCTTGTTTTGTTCTGCTTTCTAAAGTTAAACTGAAAGCAGCAAGAGACATGATTCCCTCCCTGATTTAAGGTAGGGGATAGCTGTCTTCCAGAGAGTCCTGCTTTGCCATTAGGAGATTTTATCGT